ACATAAACCTTGACTCCCACTTCTTTGCCTTTTCACCATGTTCCCTCTGCTTTTCTCTCTCTCTCACTTTAGGAAATATTGTTTCTCAACCTCTATATCAGTGGTTCCCAAACTTATTTGGCCTACCACACCCTTTCCAGAAAAAATATTACTCAGCCCCTGGAAATTAATTTTTTTAAAATTTTAATAGCAGTTACTCATCGCCCCCAAATGCACCTGTGGCCATCACCGCCCCCCTGGATCGCTGCAGCGCCCACCGGGGGGCGGTAGCGCCCACTTTGGGAATCACTGCTCTATATTTTTATCCTGTCTCTTTGCTCTCGTGCCCTACTCTGAAATCTCTATATCCGTCTTTCTCTTCCTTCTTACCTTTTCTTCCTCCCATCTATTTTTCCTACCTCTTGATCACACACACACACACACACACACACACTTCCTTCCCTATTTATCCCTCTGCATTTCCTGTTCTCAGACTCTCCTCAGCCCTCCACTGCCCAGGTATGAGTTTTGGTCATGTCCCTGCTCTTCTTCCTTTAGGGAATTTGTGTTTGCATAGACGGCTTGAAGCCAGAGTACCATTTCTAAGTGTGGGGTAGAGGAGAGTGGAGTGGGAAGAAAGTATCAAATACTTCTAGACTAGAAGCCAGTTCAGTTTCTTCCTTTCCCTTACCTGTATTTGTCTTCTGAGCATACATGGGTTCCCAAAGGACAGCTCTGGAGTGCCTCGAAAGCCACAAACAGTTACAACTTGGTGTAGGGAACACTCCCAGAAAGCCTCAAACCTGGTAAAAGGGGCCTGAGTGATCAGGACTAAGGGCTTTAAAGGAATGTCAATCAGAGAGCATCAGTTCTTCGTGTGTTCAATGGTGGCTCTTTTTCACAGCCTTCTTGAGATTTGGTTCATCTTTACTTTTTATCACAGTTGTAGCCTTGAGAAGCATGACTAATAATTCCAGGAGGCAGTTGAGTTGAATAAAGAGTGTTTTGAACTCCTAAGTTGTTCAGTTAATGACAGCTGCTCAGAAAGGAATCAAGGATCTATAAATAATGGCAGATTAGTACCTTGAATAGACTGTCAGGAGTTAAATAGACAGCTTGTTCTTAAAGATAGATTTTAGAGCTGAAGTATATTGTTTCTTTATTGACCCATAAGAAAAGAAAAACCAAAGGGTATGTGACAATTTAAAGCAGGAATAGTTTTGTACATATATATATCTAATATATGTTTAATCTTTGATAAAGTATGTAGGGTAGAATCTTAAACTATAATTAGCTCACTTTATTATGTTTTTTGAAGGGCCATAAAGGGTATATTGTTTGCCCTTCTGCAGTGATAAAACTGGTTATTACTTCCAGAGAATGAATAGACACTCAAAATATTAAGTAATTACACAATTTATAGCTTTCCTAAATATAATTATATGTTAAAAATATGGTTCTGGTGAAAGATTCTATGATAATCTATTGATACATTAAAAATTACCCCAGCCTGGCCATTGTGGCTCAGTGGTTGAGCATTGACCCATGAACCAGGAGGTAACGGTTCAATTCCTGGTTAGGGCACAATCTCAGGTTGTGGCTTGATTCCCAATGGGAGCTGTGCAGGAAGCAGCTGATCGATGATTCCCTCTCATCATTGATGTTTCTGTCTCTCCCTCTTCCTTCCTCTCTGAAATCAATAAAAATATATTTTAAAAATAAAAAAGGCAAGCAACTATTATGATAGTTAAATACCTTAGTAAATACTGTGTTTATATCTGATAGATCTTGACCTGGCATTGATTGTTACATTCTTAGCTAAAAAAAAAAAAATGTTTTAAAAAGATATTCATGAATACCACACGTCAAAACTTGCAAAAGAAAGCAGATAGAAGATTTTTGTGTTTGGTTTTGGACATAATATACTAGTGATTTTTTAAAATTTTTTTTTTTGTAGAAATATGAACTGTTTCATAGGTGATTCAAAAAATTGTGAACCAAAGGAATTGTTACAAAAAAATTCCACCATATTCTTTCTTCATTTATGCCATTAGTCTTTGTGGCTGCAAAGTATAATTGAAATAGCTTCTTTTAAAAAGTGTTGCCTAGCCTGGCTGGTGTGGCTCAGCAGTTGAGCATCAACCCAGGAACCAAGAGGTTGCAGGTTCAATTCCTGGTCAGGGCACATGCCCCGGGTTTGGGGCTCGATCCCCCGTCCTCAGTGGGGAGTGTGCAGGAGGCAATTGATCAGTGATTCTCTCTCATCACTTATGTTTCTATTTCTCCCTCTCCCTTCCCCTCTCTCTAAAAATCAATAAAAACATTAAAAAAAATAAAATGTGTTACCTAGTTCTGCATTCTGATACACTTGGTTCCTCTTAAGTCACCCACATTCCCTTCACATTTTGGGTTCATTTTCTCAACTGTAAAAGAAAGAGTGTGTAAGTAGGATTACATTGTACATGTCAGGATTCTGACTACTGTGCATTAATTAAATAGAGGTTTCCTTTTCCCATATAAGAAGTCTGTCTTTCTGCCCTACCGTCACTAGTGTGTGACTTCTGTCTTGGTGCATGTGACCCCATAGTTACAAGATGGCTATGATGAGTTGTGTGGTATCATGTCATATTCCAGGTGGAAAGTGGCTGCACAGGCAGGGCTTTCCATAAACTCTCACTTTGTTTTTTTCATGATCAGAACTGTGCCACTTTGCTTCCTCCAATTCTAAGGGATTCCAAAGAAGCTAGTGTTTTATTGGGGTGTATCATACCCCAAATAAGATGTGTTCTGTTAGCAAGGAATCTAAGAGAATGGCCCTGGCTGGTGTGGCTCAGTTGGTTGGAGTGTCGTCTGGTGCACCGAAGGGTTTCTGTTTGATTCCCAGTCAGGGCACATACCCAGGCTGTGGGTTCGGCCCGTAGGGGGTCGGGGTGGGGGCAAGGGGGGGATGCAGGAGGCGGCCCATTGATGTTTCTCTTTTACATCAGTGTTTCTCTCTTCCATCCTCTCTAAAATCAATATGTAAAAAATAAAAGAGAGAGGGAGAATGCCCAGTGAATAAACAAATAGTATTGGTTGCACAAAAGATTTGAATGATTGCTGAAGTCTCAGCCTATTGAGCAATCCATGAGTACATCCACTTGGAAAAAGAAGGTAGTGATATTATAGTACTTGATGTGAATAATCAAGCTGCTTTCCATTTTTTAAGTTGGATTTGAGCAGCAAAACTATCAATTGGTGTATCCGTAGGTAATATACATGGTCATGTAAATCTCAATAATGACCTTCTCCATGGTCTTCTCCTCTCAGCAAAGTCTTCATTAGAATTGGGGTATTTGAATAAATAAACTCTTACAAAAGCTATACTTGAAGAAGTAAACTCTTAAAAAACTTCTCATAAGTTTTCAGTGTGGCTTTTTTATTATATGTGATTTTATTTTTGCTAAAATGATTGTAAATCAGCTGTGTGTGAAAACAGCTACACATTAATTGTAATTGTATCTATTTTACTTTTAACAGAATTTACAATATTAAATAGTCATGGTGAGTTTTTTTAAGTTAAAAGGCATTATTTTCTAAAGTAACCTTATTTTTATGTAAAAGTAACACATTTCAGCTAATACTGAAAGAAAAAGAAGGAAGTAATCTAATTAACCAGAAATAATTATTATTACCATCTTAGATATACATTTCTATGCATACGAAGTACTTGTATTTTAGGATTTAGGTAATAGATTTTGGAATTATTTGTGAACATAATTCAGTGTGAATATGTATATGAACTGAGATATCGCTTGACATAAAAATTTGGGAAATTTTGGATAAATAACTATTTCAGCTTTCAAAAGGTAAATAAAGGTTACTGTTTAATGGTCATTATTCATAGCTGAAAATTTTTAAAGTGTTTCTGGAAAAATTTGGCATTAATAAATTCTTACTGATTTGGATTTATCTTGTAATAAGAAAAAAGCTTTTGCTCTGAGCCTAGGATTTCCTTATTCCTCCTTGAGGCCATTTATTTATTTGGGGGGCTCACAATTGAAATATCAGAATAATAGCAGATGATAGATATGAAAATAGAAATTTTTTTTACAATGACCATTTAAAATTCTGTGTAGGTTTGGGTCTTTTTGTACCTGAGCATTCACTTGCCTATCATTTTTAAGCTACAGATATATTCCACCTCTCTAGTTAAATTTAGCTGAGGAATTGTTAGGTACAGGTTATAATTGCTCTTTTTCTTTTCTTCACTTTCCCAGCCTCTGCAATACTTTGACAAGCTTCACTCCTTCTGCAAGCAGTGTTTTCAGTGTGTGTCTTTTATCGCTGTCAACAGGCTCTTTCTGTGTTCTGCTGGCCTCCTACTCAGTGAATGCCACCACTGCCTCTACCCCCGCATTAGTGCAGGGATGGGAAAATAGAGCTGGGCAGTCATTGCATTTTTAACACCTATTATATGAGCAGCCCTCGATAGACCTTTCTTTTATCCTTCTTAGATCTCTTACCTACAGTAAGAGTCAAGTTGCCCTCAAATGGTTCTTGGTGCCTTGATTACTGGCTCAAGGATTAAGTAGCTAGGCATTTCTACAAGTTTGGGTAACAGAAAAAGTGAAAAATACTGTTTTTCATTTAAATGCCACTTTAACATTATTTATTGGACAAATAACATTATCAATATAACAACGGAATTCATTTAATGAAAAGGAAAAAATGCCCTTAAATTTTGCAATTCTAGTCAACAGTTTTGTTTTTCTGTGTTTCTTTTCAGGCCTGCATATACAGTTTTTACTTTGCATATACAGTCTTTACTTTGTTATAATCAGAGTGGCTACCGGGAATTGAACCGTGACCTCGAGGTTCATAGGTCGACACTCAACCACTGAGCCACGCTTGCTGTGCAGGGTCTTGATATTTTTAAAGACAAAAATAATTGTGTTCTTTAGGTACTTTGAATGTTAACCTTTGACATTGGTTTTATATATTTTAATTCTGTTCTAGTTATATATTGACCAATAATTAACCTTCTTTGAGAGTTACCACCAGATTTTAATCATAAATATTAATGTGTTTTATTCAGCTATCTATGTAACCTTGGCAAGTCACTTTACCTCTCCGGGCCTCACTTTCCTCATCTATCAGGTACTGGGTTGAACTTGAACTATTAGATCCTTTCTAGCTCTGACAGCTAAGATTTTCTTAGCTAAAGATCATCATATTTAAGTAACCCTTGTGGTTCCTTGCTATTTTAGATTAGAATCTTTCTCATGGAAACCTTTAACAACCTTCTAGTAAAGTTAAACTTCATCTTCTTCAGTTTTCCTTACCTATCCACATGGTTTGGTAGAGCTTTGAGAAAGAATATGATTTGATAAAAGTATACTTTTTGGTTTGCTTAAGTGAAATCCTGTGATTGTAGTTTTTTTTGTTTTTTTTTTAAGTCATAAGGGAATGACTATTCTCTCAACCTTGTCATTATATCTTGTATTATTTCAAGTGACCATTGGACTGGGTTCAGCCTTCTGAAAAAGCTTTACATATAAGAATGTTCAGAAGTATATTGAGACAAAATTTAATAGTTTTAAAGTAGAAATACTAGTAAAATGTGGTTTTTTTGTTCAATATTCAGGGTACTTAGGGATTGTTAACGTAAGTTAGCAAAATGTGGCTATAAATATGAGTTCAACTATCAGTTTTAATTGGCCCACTGTTTTACTAAATTCTTTTTTTTTCTTTTTAAGAAAAACTTACGATGTAGTCTTGCTGGTGAAATATATATTGAACAAGGCTGCTATAAGCAGTCTGGTCTAATGCCTGGAGTTCTATGAACAATAAAAATAATTAGTTGGCAAATTAACTATTGGAATGATAACTACAATATGCAGGTTTGAGTGAGTTTCCATGACTTATAATTGACTCATGTGTCATCTTTAGAGAATAGTTTCTAATTTTTTTTTTTCCAAAATGTGACAACCTTTTATGTTATCTTCAGAAAGGTTGGAAATACATCATTTCTCTCATGCCTGTATTTTACACTCATTCAGAGATTAGACTTTCAGTAACTTTATTCTTAAAGAGTGGAGGCCCCAAAAGTAAACAAACAAATTAAAAGCCTCTGAATATTTGATAAAGCCCGCAAAAAACTCATTTCATTCAGAGGCCTGTGGGCCTCCATTGAAATCCATTTATTGTTACTTTTTACATGTAAGAACTTTAATTAAGTGGAAGAAGGGCAAGCTGACAGCTGGCCATCTGAAACAGAGAGGAAACAGTAAAACAACTATAATTACAGAAACCCCAGAAAACTGTATCAAGGACATCCAGTAAACTAGAAACATACTACTATAGTCAGAGTCATTTAATATATAGAGCACCTGGTTCTATTTCTTTCATGTGTACTGAATTATACAACTGAACTGTTTTCTCTCCATATATTGGTTGTAAAGGAGTTCAGAGCCAAGTTTGTAGTCTGCCCCAAACAAGTACACAGGCCTTCTCTCATCTATCTGGTATTAATTTCTCCCATGGCTTTAAGATATTTTTCTACCTTTATTTTCCCTATTTTATATTTTTAATATGTATCTTACTGTGTTTTCAGTTTTTCTCAAGTTTTCCTAATGTCTAAGAGGAGTATAGTTCCACACCCAGGGGTTTGAGAGTAAAAGCGAGATAGCCTGCCATAAATTTGAAGTCTCCCCCTTTTTTTGTTTAAGTGTAAAAATGGGTTTCTCCAAAAAAAATTTTTCAGGGAAAAATCAATGAACATGCCATATATGTATATATATCCATCCTTTGGCTTTATCTCCTAAAGTATCCATTTCAATTTAGTAAACAGTAAGCATGATTGCACTTAGTAACACTATCTTATTAGCACAAAGAAAATGCAATGCCCTCTTACAATTTAGTACATCTTTTAGAAATGCCAACCTCGAATAAATGCAGAGCTTATCAGATAAATGCCATAATTTTGCTATTGCTCTCAGTATAGGACACACATTTCTCTTGTCAGAATGCAGTAAAGTAAGTGTGGTTATGTAAAATGTATTAAAAATTATTTTCTTGGTGGGGGAGGTGTCAGGTGCTGCAACCCCAAGAGATAAGGCCAGTTTTCTGTGTTTGGAAAAAAAGAAAAGAGAATTGCCCTCTGTCCATCCTTTAAAAACAAAAACAAAAAACAGTAATCTTTTCCCTTGAATCCCATCCATGGTCCCACCCTTCTCTTCATTTTGGCCAGAAATACTTTCTGCTTCCCTACGTTTAAGCTTGTACTCTATGAGAAAATATTTAAGAAAATTTCTGTTTAAAATTAGAATTAGTTTAGTTTCAGAATTTTATTTTTGCTAATGCCAAATAGTTAATGTCTTCTTAAGAATAATGATTTTATTAATTTTGAAGTTATAATTCATGCTTTTATAAGGAGTTCAAGCAGCGTGGAAAAGTAAACAGTAATGTTTTAAAATGGCTCCAAATTCTACCAGTAGAACTAATTTTCATTAGTGTTAGAGAAATATCTTTCCAGAGAGCATTCACTTCACATATATATTAATATAAGGAAGAAAAAGTAGATAGATGGAAGAATCAAGATCTATTGCTCATTATACATGCTATTTTTCATTAAAATCATTGAGTTAATAAAAAATAAATAAGTTATAAAACTTTTTTTTAACCATGAGATACATATTATATACTAAAACGTCCCTGAAATTTAATGAAATGATTATGAAAAATTTAGGTTAGCCGAAACCTTAGCTATATTTTGGATAGAGCGTCGGCCTGCTAATT